CATAGATACCTACATGGCTCAATGCTGTTTTTAAAATGTGCCAACAAACTGAAGATCCCCAGCAGAAGTCACAGAAAAAGGACAGAAAGCATGTTTTAGCAGGAGGGCTTGCCCCTTGGCCTAATTACCTCCTGAGTTTCTGGTGCCTTTTCAAATGTGGACCAGATAGAGAAACACTAGCCTTCCACTACCTCCATCATAACCTGCTATTCGAAGGCAGCTTCTAACAGGAGCTGACTTGCCATAGGCCCTAGATCAGTCTGGGTAACGCACTCTGGGGGTTTCAAATGAAGGCCTGAGAAATCTAAGCAAGAACATGGTATGTACCAAAAGTATCTGTTAGAATTAAATCAAACAGCCATTCTGTGTTTACTTGGGCAATGAAGAAATCATTTAAAATAATAGGCAAAATCCTGGTGCAGAATTTAAATATACACTTATATTACTTGAGGTAAAGATTTCCTCATCAAGAAACAAATTTCTATTTTTAATCGCCTTTTTCTTGTGTCCTCTGTGCAGATTGCAATTAAGAGGAATATCTACAGAAAACAAAACTGTCATAAGTAGCATATGTATTTTTGATGCATTCAAAATACAGATAGGCCAGGTGCAGTGGCTCACATCTGTAATCCCAGCACTTGGGAGGCTGACTCAGGAGGATTGCTTGAGACCAGGAATTGGAGGCTGCAGTGAGCTATGATCACACCACTGAACCACAGCCTTGGCAACAGTGCAAGACCTTGACTTCAAAAACTAAAAGAAAAACAGGCCCAGCGTGGTGGCAGGCACCTATAATCCCAGCTACTCGGGAAGCTGAGGCAGGAGAATCGCTTGAATCTGGGAGGCAGAAGTTGAAGTGAGCTGAGATCATGCCACTGCATTCCAGCCTGGGCGACAGAGGGAGACTCCATCTCAAAAAAAAAAAAAAAAAAAAAGTAACATCAGGTACAATTATCCAAGTTTTTTTTAAGGCCTAACACAAATCCATCAGAATTCTGGCATCTACTTTAAATGATAGAATATTGGGGCATATTTGTCAATCTCCTGTAGGGAAACCAGGGTATTTTATATTTACCTGAATACGTCTTTCTCCCTCCACAACCCTTTCAATCTTCATTCAAGTCAATTATAAAAGTAAGGCAGTTATTGAGCCAATATTCACTGATAACCAAGCAGGAAGCTTATGAGTATGAATCAGAGTGGGGATGACTCATCGAAAGCCAAATGTTTGTATGGAAAGCTCCCCTAAAATGGCACAAAAGCAAATATTTATAAACATGTTAAGAAAGCATTGTGGAACTCTTGGGAGGAGAGGTTAAAATACTGCCACCCATTTCTAATTACACTATTAAAATAAAACATTGCTTTGCTACCATGAAGTCTGACCCAGGCTCTAAACTCTTTAGAAATAGGGTTGCTATAATTGGTAGGCCTGATCCTGACTCACAGGACTTCTTATTTTGAGATATCACTCTATTTTGATAACTTCAGCCTATCTCTATTTCTTCTCTCTCTCTCTCTCTTCTTTATTTTTATTTTTATTTTTTTTGAGACAGAGTCTCTGTCACCCAGGTCGGAGTGCAATGGTGTGATCTTGGTTCACTGCAACCTGACTGCAACCTCTGCCTCCTGAGTTCAAGCAATTCTCCTGCCTCAGCCTCCTGAGTAACTAGGATTACAGTCATGTGCCACCATACTTGGCTAATTTTTGTATTTTTAGTAGAGATGGGGTTTCGCCTTGTTGGCCAGGCTGGTCTCTAACTCCCAGCCTCAGATGATATGCCCACCTTGGCCTCTCAAAGTGCTGGGATTACAGGCATGTGCCACCGCGCCCAGCCTGATGTTCTATTTTTCTAATCATCAAGTGCATTTATTAGCTAAGGGCATCCCAGAAATAAAATTACCAACATAAAATTTTACTTGTACTATTATAATTTAGTAATTAAATCCTAAAATTATCAACTGAGAACAACTGGAAGAATAAATACTTCTCTTTATTTTCTCCATATTGAAAGTAAAGAGTATGAGGTTCCTTAGCTAAGATTTTAATTAAATCTTTTCAGAGCCAGCTTTTCTTTGTATAAATAAGGACTGTTGAATAACAGTTATAAAGCGTATGAACTAGCAACGAGTCTTAGTCCATTTGGGTTGCTATAAAGGAATATCTAAGGCTGGGTAATTTATAAAGAACATATATTTATTTGACTCGTGATTCTGCAGGATGTACAAGAAACATGGCACCAGCATCTGCTTCTGATGAAAACTTCAGGTGGCTTTGACTCCTGGTGGAAGAAGAAGGGGAGCCTAGGTTGTGCAGAGCTCACATAACTAGAGAAAGAAGAGGGTTTGGGGGAGGTGCCAGGCTCCTTGAATAGAGTAAGAACTCACTCATTACCAAGAGAAGGCACCAAGCCATTCATGAAGGATCCTCCCCTATGGCACAAACCTTTCCCATAGACCCCCGTCCAACATTGGGGATCAAATTTTAATGCAATGTTTAGGGATACAAACATCCATACCATAACAGGGTTCTGTATTTGTATTCCCAAAGAGCAAAATTTGGGAGGTGAATGGGTCTATATGTGTGCTGGGGGGGAAGAAGTTAATATGAAGAAAATAAACGAAAATGTGTTACATAATAATGAGGATTACAGATTTTTTAGGGAAAGAAGTGCTGTGCAAATTACGAGGTAAGTAGACTATATGATTTATTAATTTTTATTGGATTAGAGCAAGGATCGAAAACTCAAAGTCTGACACCTTGAATGGCTGGGTCTATGGACCCAGCCATACTTCATTTGCATATTATGTATTAAATGCTTAGGCATGATCTTTGCTCCCCCAACATCCTCAAAACACCCTCTTTCCATTTTTCTTAAAATGTTTATTCCTCTTTGTCTATATTTTATTTTTATAACTTTTAAAAGGACTTAGATATAAAAATGATATTACTTTCTTCTTAACTGTAAGAAAAATGGTCTCACTCATACATTGATGAATGGCGGCTATCACTCTGACTCAGAGTGAAGGAGACAATAATGAGTGGTGAGGACTGTAATAAGATGGAAAGCACATGCCCATCCAAAAATGAGCATTCACTTCTAGGAACTAGTGAAAATGGTAATAGCCAGATCTTTCTATTTTTCAAAAGAAACTTGAAAGTATTTAAATATTTTGTGACTAATTCAAATGCTTTAAAATAAGCAATTTGATTCTAGGAGACCAAACTAGTTGCTATTTATGATTTAAACCATAGTGTCTTTCAAAGTTAATGTTTGTCCTTGGGAGGTGTGTGTGTGTGTGTGTGTGTGTGTGTGTGTGTTTGATTCCAAAATACCAATAATTATCAGTGGAAAACGTGGGAGATTAAATATGTGTACTTTAAAGTGTACTTTAAACCATATTGGGGGAAGAGAAAGATATAAAAGGTGCTGAGAACCCTGAAGTGGTGTCCCTCATGGTCTGCCTTCTATATCTCCAACACATGTGCTATGCACCAGGAGAGACTTGAAGTGCAATGGCAATCTGTGGTCAAATTAGGCCTTTCCCTAATTTGCTCCAGAATGAATGATTCACATTTGGATTCACATTTGTTGAGAGAGGTGGAAAAATCTTAGGGACAATTAGAATAATAATAACATTGACATTATTTAATAATAACATTCATATTCATTCTTTCATTCAGCAAATATTTATTACACACCTGCTCTGTGTTAGAACTATAAAATGGCCATGATGTGTTAGGTACTTAGTAGTCATTCGGAAAAGTCAGTAAGGAAAGACAAAACTGCCTTCCCTTATAGAGATTATATTCATTGAGGAGACAAAAATAAATAAAATGAATAGTGTAACATAGGTTAGATAGTGACAGGTGCTATGGAGAAAAATAAAGTAGGAAAATGTCATTTCTCTAGTTTCCTGATGTATAATTGAAATAGATATTCTTGTTAGCTGGCAGAATGTCTGCAGTGATTCCTTGGACTATGGGTTAAAAGCTATGTTAATAGGGGAGACCAAGAGGAATATCTGAAACAAAATTCCCTTTCTCACTAAGATAGTAAATAAGAAAGCAATATTGCATCCTGGGAAGAATGGCACAGGTTAGTGCTTCTCTTTAAGACCTAAAGGATGCAGGGTGATGGCTCTCTCATTCTCATTTAATTCACCTGTCTGGCCCGTTCAAAAATTGGTCTGATCCTGGGGGATAATAAACTCAACTAAATAGTTGCCACAATTGCTTTTGCTATGTCAGGTACATCTTTGCTAGAAAAAGATTAACCTGGCCTCAGTTACCTTGCATTGATTGGCAAATGCATTCATTTCTATTCCTGTAAAGAGAGAGAAACAGAAGCATGGGAATGACATAGACCTTTAAAGTGTTGAGCAGGGCTAATTCTTGTGCCCTCTGTTATATTATATAACCCAAAGGGACTTGGACTGTCTGGCTACTCTGCATATCAGCACCATCTTCCACTATACTGATGATATCATATGTGATGGTTTTCAAATATGCACAGAAATTTCTGATTCTTTTTACTTCAAGAGGTGGAGCTTAATTCCCCTCCAACTGAGTGTGGGTTGGGCATAGTGACTTGTTTCTAATTAATAAAAATATTGCAGAAGTGATGATATGGTTTTTCTAAGACATTGCAACTTCCTTTCCTTGCTCTCTCTCAAATCACATGCTCTGAAGGAAATCATATATTATGTGATGAGGACATTCAAGCAACCCTAGGGAGATTCATCTAGAAAAGAACTAAGACCTCCTGCCAAAAGCCATTTGAGTCAGCCCTCTTGGAAGTAGACCCTTTAGCTCTAATAAAGCCTTCAGATGACTGCAGCTCTAGGCACCATCTTAACTGCAAACTCCTGAGAGACCCTGAGCCAAAATCACCCAGCTAAGCCATTCTTAAATTCCTGTTCTATACTGTGAGATCATAAATGTTTACTGTTCTCAGCTGAAAGGTGACAGAGTGGGAGTCATGTCATCATCTCTGGCTGGACATGGAGGAATTACAGTGAGTGACCTTCAAGAAAAACCCTTAGTGCTCCTTCAGTACCCAGTAAATGAGGATTATCATACAACTATGATTACAGAGTATGGAGCTGGCTTATTCATGAGACACTAATGAATAGTCATAAATTAAAGCATGCATGTATAAGCCCAAGATATGCAGCTAACAACACTGGAACCAGACCTCAGTTTTTCATTTTATTATCTGTTCTCCTCTTCTTTGGTTTCTTTTCATTTTGGCTTTTTCCATCATTGAATGATGGTGAAGTCAACAGTGGAAAAGAGGGAGGGAAGAAGAGAAGAAAGGAAGTTGAATATATGAAAAACCAAAGAGAATATTACCTTACTCTTCTCAGGTGTGCTTCGACACAAAACCTGACATCCAGATAAACCAAGGCGTCATTGAGTTCTCTAAAAAGACTCCCAAGAGTTCTCTATAAGACAGATTCCTATTAAAGTCTCAGAACACGCTCTGTGCAAGATCATCTCTGGAGAGCATACATGTTGGGTAACTCTTTTTCCCTCTGCCTTCCCTAAATTTGGTCTGGGATACCGTTTTGGGGTTCACACATATCCTTCAACCCAACAGAGTCTCCCATCTCCATATCCAAGAAGAGACCAGGGTAAGTGGGGATCAGGAAAGAATATGTATCCTTCTTCCAGTCATGAATGAACTTAGATATCAGGGTGGACAAATTTCTGAGTGTTATTTCTCCATGGCTTCCCCTGATGTGGCCTAAGGTGGATGAGGAGGCATTTCTCCCAGCCCTTATCACCTAATTCTTTCCATTCTGGACCCTCAAATAGACACTTGGTTCTATATCACCTTTATTTTGGCTGCCCTGTCTGACCCATCTCTCCTCTTTTTAACAGAGAATTGCTGCTGCCCCACTCCTGTGCCAAAATCTGCTCCAAGGGATCCTCTCCTAGTCAGAGGGCTGTACTCTGAGCACCAATATTAGCTACAACACCAAGATTTCCCATTACACAAACCGGATCCTCGAAGTCATCCACACCAAATGAATCTCAATTCTTTCTCCCAGTAGCCTGAGAACTAGATTTACCAGCCTTGGCCCTTTCCTTCCTTTCTAGTTTCAGGACAGGATGGGAACAGAGTCCTTGGCTGTGAGAATGGGACCAATAACAAAATAAAGATGACAGAAGAGTCAGTGACTTCAAAGACAGAGTGTTAGAAATTTCCAATATGAACAACAGAAAGAAAAGAGATTTTTTAAAAAATGAACAAATCCCTAGGGACCTGTGAGACAATAACTGTGTTAAGTTTTCCCAACTTATAAGTATTTATATTTGTATATGGTAACAACTATGCAGTTTTTGTGTCAGTTATTTTTTGGTATATATTTAAAGTATACAACATGATGTTTCAACATACTTAAATGTAGTGAAATGATTACTACCGTAACCACAGTTATTGTCTCACAAATTATTGTCTTTAGAAAAAGAGTAAAAAGAATACTGGGAAGAAGAAATAATAGCCCAAATTTCTCAAATTTGGTGAAAGACATAAACTTACAGATTCAAGAAACTGAATATTTCCCAAACAGAATAAACTTTAAAGAATCCACACTCAAACACATCATAATCAAACATCTGAAAACTAATGACAAACTTTTAAAATCAGCCAGAGATAAACCACACATTACCAATTGATGAAAAATGATTCAAGTGACAGCAGATTTGAAGGACAGAGGAAGAGGCAAAATATTATTTTTGGAAAAAATAATATTTTGCCTCAGTTCAAAAGGAAAGAACTCTCAACCCAGAATTCTACAACCAGTAAAAACATCCTTCAAGAATGAATATGAAGGAAAGCTAAGAATAAAGATATCTTTAATTTCTTTGCCAAATTTTTCTATTTTCTCATTTGATGTTAGAGTGTTTATAAGTACTTATTAGTGCATTTTTATGGTAGTTGGTTTACAATCCTTGTCTGAGAATAGCTACGTGAGATGACATATATATTAAATAGTGACTGTAGTAACCATTTCGCTACAAATAAGTATGTCAAAATATCATGTTGTACACCTTAAATATATACAAAAAATAGCTCTGAATCAAAAAAATGCATAGTTGTTACCATGTATAAACAAAAATGCTTGTAAGTTTAGAAGATAAAATCATTGATTATTATCTAAATGATAAAGTTCATCTGTGTCACCTTGGTGTTGGCATCTATTGATCATTTTTCATTTGAGTTGAGGTTTTCCTGATAGGGTGAGTAATTTTTGACTGTATCCTGGACTTCCGGATATTATCAGACTCTAGCTCCTACTTGGATCTCATATTTTATAAAGTAGTCAACTCTGTTTAGAATGCGTATCCTAGCTGACTTATGTGGACTGTGACTCAAATGTTAATTTGGTTTATAAAACCTCTTCTACAGGGGTTCTGTAGGGGTTTATAAGAGACAAAATCTCCTCAGCCTAGAGTTGTATACGTCTTAATCCCCAGAACCTAAGAATCTGTAACCTTACTGGTAAAAGGGACTTTGCACATGTGATTAAGATACGGATCTTCATATGGGAAAAATATCCAGGTGGGCCCAATATAGGAATGCTTGTGATTCCTGCACATTGATTTTGTATCCTTAGACTTTGCTGAAGTTACTTACCAGCTTAAGGAGATTTTGGGCTGAGATGATGGGGTTTTCTAAATATACAACCATGCCATCTGGAAATGGAGACAATTTGACTTCTTATCTTCCTATTTGAATACACTTTATTTTTCTTGCCTGATTGCCCTGTCCAGAACTTCCAATACTATGTTGAATAGGAGTTGTGAGAGAGGGCATCCTTGCCTTGTGCTAGTTTTCAAAGGGAATGATTCCAACACATGCCCATTCAGTAGGACATTGGCTGTGGGTTTGTTATAAACAGCTCTTATTATTTTGAGATATGTTCCATCAATATCTAGTTTATTGGGAGTTTTTAGCATTAAGGGGTGTTGCATTCTATAGAAGGCCTTATCTGCATCTATTGAGATAATCATGTGGTTTTTGTCATTGGTTCTGTTTATGTGATGGATTATGTTTATTGATTTGTTTATGTTGAACCAGCCTTGCATCCCAGGGAAGAAGCTGACTTGATCGTGGTGGGTTAACTTTCTGATGTGCTGCTGGATTTGGTTTGCCAGTATTTTATTGAGGATTTTCACATCGATGTTCCTCAGGGATATTGGCCTGAAATTTTCTTTCTTTGTTGTCTGACACTGAATTCTTAAAAACTCTTATAATTTCCTAAGCAACAGGGGTGCTAGAAGCATCTTTTGTTTTATTGTTTGGTCTTCAACCCCGTTTCCTGATACAGAGCTTCTAAATCCCTTGGAATTTCCTGGGTGATAGGAATATCTTTTGTTCTAATGAGGCAGCTCGATGGGGGCTGGTCACCAGAAAAGCCAAGCCATGGCTTGAAACTTCCCAGCCTCATTCTCCATCCTCCAGGATGGGAGGAACTAAAAATTAAGTTAATCCACCATGCCCTATTTCATGAAGCTACCGTAACAATCCCTGAATTATGGGGTTTGGAGAGATTCTGGGTTGGTGAGCACGTCCACATAAGGGGAGGATGGCACAGTCTAATTTTACAGGGACAGAACTCCTGCTCTTCTGTCCTTACCCTATGTATCTCTTCATCTGGCTGTTCGTCTGTCATCTGTGTCCCTTGTAATGTCCCTTATAATAAACTAGTAAGTGTTTTGCTGAGTTCCGTGATTCATTTTACCAAATGATTGAATTCAAGCAGGCTGTTGTGAGAGCCTGATTTACAGCTGGTTGGTCAGTACAGGTCACAGCCTGGACTTGTAACTGGTGTCTGAAGTGGGGGCAGGCAGTCTTGTGGGAACTAAGCCCTTACATTGTGGGGTCTGCACTGACTCCAGGTAATAGCGTCAGATTGAATTGAATTATAAGATACCCAGAAGTGTCAGAGAATTGGTTGGTGTGAGAAAAAAACCATGCATTTTGATAACCAGAAGTGTTAACAGTATAGAGAAAAAAAGTCTGTACTCAATACATTTTATTTTACCCACCTTTCAGAATCTTCTGGTAAGTGAGTTATGTATTTTTTCAAGAGCAGTTATTGATGTTAACAGGAAAATTTAAATGAGATGCATTTACTCCATCTTATTTGGAACTGGAATGCGCCCTATACTTTAAAATGATATATTAGAAAGACGAATGGAAAGATTAAGGTTAAGAGAAAAGACCAGTGAACAAGAAGTCAGGAGACCTAGGTTCTGGTTCAGATTCTATAATTAACTAGTACAGTGTTTTTCATATTTGTATGCATGAGCCCCAAAAGCATGTAGGTGGTAAATATTAGAACTTCTATTTGTAATTACTTTGGTTTATCCTTTTAAAGTTTCAGTTTTGGTGTATGTTTGATAATGCACACATTTTAAAATTTTAGTTTTAGTGTATGTTTTATACATATTACAAAATATGTAATAAAATATAATTTATAATATATATAATAGCTTATATATGTTAGTACATATACATATATAGATAAATAAATATACATATATTGGTGACTCATGTTCAAAAATGTTTAAGAACTAGTGACAATGTCAGATATCCAAAACTGAACTGCCCCAGATTTTCTGGGGATTCTAACTGCCTTAAATGTGTCATATCTGAATTGGGACAACTCCCTTCAATACAGAACAGATTGTAAGTGTGTTGATCAATTAAGATCCTTTTATATGTCTTTGGTTGAAAATATAATTCTTAGCTCAAATAAAGCTTCCTATATTCTTTAACACTTTTGTATGAAGAAATGATTGAATGAGGGTGAATCATTCCTAGAGAAGTAACATTGAGAATGAAATAAAATAAATAAAATATAAGTTCATGCTTCTGACATAATAAAAGTAAGTGGACTGAGATTAAGAAAATAGGTGCTTTCTAGAATGCATGTAAGATCACTCTGAGTCAATCCACTGGTCATCCAGTCTCATTAATCTTCTGTCTTTAGCCTAAACATGGAGAGGCTCATTTACATGCAACACTCTGAAACTATATAATTCAGGGTCACTTCTATGATGGTTTCTTACTGACAATGATGCAGAGAAAATGGGGCAAAGTTTTCTCCATGGTTCCAATGTCTCTGACCTTCACATGACTGCACATGACAGAGACCGCTAATTGATCCCCTACCTCCAGTCTCCTAATCTTTCTTTTTTTGGTGGACCTTTCCAGTCTTCTAATCTTTCTTTTTGTTAGTGGAGTTTTATCTGGCATGTGACTACTTAGAGGCATTCCTTGCAGCTTTTTGTAGCCAGTTGACCAAGTTCTCCACAATGGGATGTAAATAGAAGAGAGTGTGTAACATCTGCATCACATTCTTAAGAGGAAGCTGCTTGCCCTGTATATCTTCCTGCATCCTTTGGGCTGGAATGCAGTTGTGGTGGTGGTCAGCAAGCTTCAATCATACCCATGAGTAAAACAAGGAGAAGCTGGAATAAAAAGACCAAAGGAAGCTTTGTGACCTACAGAAGCAGAGTGCCTTCCTAACATCACTGCTGAGAAGCTCCAGAGTGCTTCGTGAAAGAGAAAGAAAGGCTTACCTTGTTTAAGCCATTATTATATTTTGGAATCTCTTTGTTATAACAGTTTACCTATATCCTAACTGGTATGCATCTAACACCTGTTTGTTCATGGTGCATTAAATTCCTACTGTGTGTTAAATATTGTTCAGATACTGTTCTAAATATTAGATATTAAAAAAATTAGGCATAGATATATTTCCTATTCTGAAGAACTCCCAACCTAAGAAAAAAAATTTGAATGGGGCCAGGCGGGGTGGCTCATGCTGGTGATCCCAGCACTTTGGGAGCCCGAGGCAGGCAGATCATGAGGTCAAAAGATTGAGACCATCCTGGCCAACATGGTGAAACACCGTCTCTACTAAAAATGCAAAAATTAGCTGGTATGATGGTATAAAAATACAAAAATTAGCTGGTATAGCCTGTAATCCCAGCTACTCAGGAGGCTGAGGCAAAAGAGTCATTTGAACCTGGGAGGAGGAGGTCGCAGTGAGCCAAGATCCCACCACTGCACTCCAGCCTGGAAATAGAGCAAGACTTCGTTTCAAAAAAAAAGACAGAAAAAAGAAAAGAAAGAAAGGAAGAAAAATTTGACTGCAAGAGAAATGGGAAGATAATTGACATTTATTAAACACCTAAGTGTTCATACACTGTCTTAGTCTGATTGGACAGCTATCACAAAATATCATAGACTGGGTGGCTTATAAACAACAGATATTCGTTTCTCATAATTCTAGAGAATGGAAAGTCCAAGATCAAGGTGCTGGCAAATTTGGTGTTTCTGGTGAGGATCCACTTTCTGATTCATAGATGGCTACCCTGTTTTTTTATAAGTTTATTGCTTTTCAGAACCTCCAGGATTCTTGATTTACCATATAAAGTATGAGATACTTTGTCAGTAACAGTAACATATACTCAATGACTGCTGCTTCAGAGAGGCTTTATAACACCTATCTTACTCAGTAATTTTGGAATTCCCACAGTTCCTGGCTGGTATATTTTTAGCAGTAGCATTGATGATTTTTCATATTCATGTACATTAAAAATATAACTTTTGATCTAATTGTATCCTCCTAAATCTAAATGTAGTGCAGAATCAGAAAGACTTTAAGCTCCAAGGCAAAACTCTTAGTGAATTAAATTTAGTCTTCCTGCGACATCAAAGAAATTAAACTGTTATTTCTTCTTTGTAGGACTATTAGAGCTAGTTCAACAGCACTGTCTTATGTCCTTTTAAAAGAAATCATTGATTTATTGTATTTGCTCAGAAACATTGTGATTAAAAACGGATTATGCTGCCTCATAGTCTTTACTTCTAAGCTCATGAATCTGGCCTGGAAGAAGTGGCTATATTGTCATTGATCCTACTGAAACTAGATTTTTATGAAATAAATTAATACTATTTATTTCACGAGGCTTTTTTCCATAGGTTTTGTATAGTACTCACATTTATACATTATGCATCTGTGCTCCTGACTTTCATTTATCCTTCACGCTGTCTCTCCAAGAAGAAAGAGGTAGAACAAATGTGTCAGAGCTCTGTGAGGGGGCATGAGGCTGAGCGTGGAGGTGCGAATATGGGGGTGTGTGTTTAAGACAGCATCTGTTGGTGTGTGGGAGCAAAGGTTCAAAGAGCAAGGATGTTGTCAGAATTCAGAGGCTGCTCAAAACTGCTGCTCAAATGGCTTTCTTTTTTAATGTCAATTTTCAGTTAAAGCTCTGATTTTTCAGTTTTTGAGAGAGAGAGAGAGAGTACTATTATAGATATCAAATTAACATAAAGCAGAAGTCTAATACAATCCATGAAATTTTAGAAAAGGGCTACATAGACCTTGATGTAAGGTTTCATCCATCATACTTAAAATGTGACTTGTAACATTTTACATCCATATTACCACGCTTTAATATGTTTATGTTCAAATGATTTATATTTTCACACATTGGAATTAGAAACTGTCCTTAAAACTATCACACACACATGTGCGCCAACATACCCCTATTCTTATAACAAGTTTTTTTACATATAAATTTTGAAGCTATAATTTTTGGAAAGACTAATTTTATAAACACAACTGAATTTATAAACTCTGTAAACTGAATTTGTAAAACTCTGTTTTGTTTTACAAAAATACAAAATATTGAGGGCACCTGTGTAAGAATTAATATTCAGGGTTCTATTTCTCACCCTGACACTCATCTGGCACAAAATTCCAGGCATGTAATCTCAGTGATCCAAGACTCAGACTTCTCATGTTTTATCAGATAATCTCCAGGATCTTTTCAAGGTCCATAATTCCCTAAAATAGACATGCTTTATAAATCACAAATATTACTGTTGTGATCAGTAGGGAGGAATATGATGTACTTTTGAAGACTTACTCAGTTATTTAATCATAATTCTAGATAACAGATTTACATATTTAGTCAGGAATAAAATTGCTTGAAATTACCTAACAATCTTGTCCTTCTTTTGTCTGAATTTGGGACAGCCTTAGAATACAAAGGATTGTAAATAACTATGAAGCAATAAGCTTTGTGCAGGAAAGGACTTTGCTTATGTCACCGCTAAATCCCTAGTTCCCAGAGCAATGCTGGACATATGGAGGGACTTAAAACTTGGTAAATGAATAAACAAGAAAGTGCCAAGGTACAGAGATTTGTAAAACCCAGTGGGAAAACAGAGTGAAGGCTTTGGAAGAGGGATGATAGTTGAGCTGGATCTATAGGGGTGAACTAGAGTTTGCCAAGCAGAGAAGGAGGAAAAGACATTGTGAGCAGAGCCAATATACTGCGGCAGAAACTGCAAGTCATCTCCCAATGGCCATCCTTCTTCCTTCCCTAGAAAGGCAATTCCTCGCCCATGAACGAAGGCTATATTTTCTACCTCCTTTGTAGCTAAGTGTAGTCAGCTGACTAGGTTTCAGCCTGTGGGGTTAAAGTAGAAGAGTAAGGTATCCCATTGATGAAGTGTCCTTAATTAGAAGAGGGTGAGATCTTCATTTCCTTCTTCTTTTCCACTGGCTAGACTACAAATATGATGGTGTGTAGTGACTTGGTTACATGTCCATTTAGCCAGGCTGAGCCACCTTTTCTAGAATTCCCTTCCTATTTGTTTCCATTGAGAGAAGGCTACAGGGAGATTCTTGTAGGAGACGTAGAGGGCTTCAGCCATTTTGCAGCTCTCATACCTTGTCACTGATCTGCTGACTCACCTCAATGCTGTGAAGCAGCAACTGCTCCATCTTCCCCTGGATTTTCCTTCAGCTTCTGACTCCTGGGTCACGTGTATTGTGTTTGGCTGTAACAGCGAGACTTGGCTTCTGCAAGATACTTGTGCTACCATGGTTAGAGGCAATAATAACTGGCACAGGTTTCAGTCTGTTCTCATGGGGCTCTTAGTCCATTTTTTTGCTGCTGTAATAGAATGCTACAGACTGAATAATTTATAATGAAAAAAAGTGATTAGCTCATAATTATGGAGGCTGGAAAGTCCAAGATCCAGGGGCTGGCATCTTGTGAATACCTTGTGGCTGCATCCTCCCATGTCAGAAGAGCAAAGCAGGGAGGCAAACCCACTCCTCTGAGAATGAATCAACTCCTGCAATAACAGCATTAGTCTATTAATGAGAGTTAAGACTTTATGATCTAAACATCTCTTAAAAACCCCACCTCATGATATTGTCACAATGGCCACCAAATTTCACCATGAGTTGTGGAGAGAACAAACATTCAAATCACAGCAGGCTTCAGCTTCATGCGTGTAAGTTCTTACTTGTTCTTGATCTTCATCATCCTTTCCTGATTCTTCCTGCCTTGCGGACTTCAAGTTCCAACATCAGATGTGAAGACAGGAGACTCATAGATACTGTTTAACTAGCTCTTGCAATTAAGGACAATCACCCCCTGCTCCCTTCCCCCATGTGCGTGTGTGTGTGTGTGTGTGTGTGTGTGTGTGTGTAGTATTTCTTCTTCTCTGACTGAACCCTGTGCTGAGATGGAGTGCTGCCATAACAAATGCCTAAAAATGTAGAAGTGATTTTAGAACCAAGCAGTGGGTGGAAGCTAGAAGGATTTTGAGAAGAAACGTTATAGAAAAACCTAGATTTCCCTTAATAGACTGTTAGTAGAAATCTGGACTTTGAGGATGCTGTTGGTAAAGACTCAAAAGGAAGTGAGGAACACTGGAGGAATGGAGATCTTTGTCATGCAGTGGCAGAAATCTTAGCAACACTATTTTCTGCAGTTATGTGAAAAGCAGAGAATATGCTTAATGAACTTGATAATCTAGTGAAGGAGATTTCCAAGCAATGTGTTGAAGGTGCAACCTAGTTCTGTCTTGCTGCTTATAGTAAGCTTTGAAAGAAAAAAGAGAAATTGAGAGGAAAAAAGTTAACAATTTTGAAAACTTACAGCCTCTTCAGACCACAAAAGATGATAACATTAAGAAATGATTTTGAGCAAAGTTTAAATCCAGGATACTGCACAGAGAAAAAAAAAATCTAAAGATGAAGCCCAGAGTATAATTGTAAACTCTTCTGTTAAGATCTTCAAAGATAAAAAGTGTCTCTCTGGAATACTATTCAGTCACATAATTGGCCCTTTTAAAGGATTAAGAGTGGGTCTCATGGATCCTTTTGATCAAACACTAGGGCCTCAAAGAAATTTAAGAATTTGTCCCTCAGCAGTCTCTGCAGGAGAACAAGGTAGAGAAGAGATTTTGCAAGTGTGGCTTTTGTCTAATTGTGTGAACTCCAGAGATTCACAAAAAGTCTACAAAGTTTTCAAGAGATTTACATCCGCTAAGACACTGCCAGTTTGGAATGAAAGAGACAAAAATAGTACAAAATGGTGAGGCCATTGGACCCCTGCAGTCTACTGGCCTGGAGCATGCTAAAAGACCACTCAGTTTCAAACACATTCCAACTTTCATGATACATGAGGGATGGCTTTAGAGAATGGTTGCTCTTGGAAATAGATCCCTTCCTAATTGAGGCTTCAGATGAGAATGTAGCACTGGAAGATTCTTTGAATATAGCCCTATGTGAGACTTTTAGGCAAAGACATTCAGTTAAATCATTCCAGGACTCCTGACCTACAGAAACTGTGAGATAATAAATGGATGCTATCTTAAGTAGCTCAGTTTTTGTTCCACTTCAATAGATAACAAATACGTGGTTTGAGCAGCCACCTTAGATCATTAATTCAAGTAACAAATTGAGGATGGCAGAATGACAAGATATAAACAATATGGGGACCATGGAGTTACCACACCGGGCCTAGACTGATTACTTTTGGACTTTATTTATATGAAAGGGAAAAATATCTCTATTCCTGTTTAAACTATTGTTATTTTGTGTTTCCTTTTATTTGAAGCTGATACTAACTGATAGAGATATACATAGAGAAACACAAATGAGAAAGAGATCTTTCATGAAAAGCCTGAATTAATTAAGTCACTGGTTGAAAATTTATTTCAATTATAAAACACTTTCTACTAGAAGTAAAATGGAAAAAAGCACAGCATCTCTAATTATGTACAATTTTAAGTGTTCCATTTTATGAATAACCAGTTTGTTTATCCACTCATCCATTGAAAGACATCCTGTTTGCTGCTAGTTTTTGGCAATAATGAATTAAGCTGCTATAAACATTTGTGTGCAAGTTTTTGTGAGGTCATATATTTTCAACTCATTTAAGTAAAATACCTAAGAGCACGATTGCTGGATTGTATGGTAAGTTTATGTTTAGCTATGTAAGAAACTGCCAAACTGTCTTCCATCGTGACTACCATTTTGCATTCCCAGCAGCAATCTATGAGAATTCCAATTTCTCTACATTTTCACTAGCAGTACATAATGCCAGTCTTTTATATTTTAGCCATTCTCCTAAGTGTATAGTGGTATCTCATCATGGGTTGAATTTGCATTCCCCTAATGGCTAATGATGTGAAGATATTTTTACCTAATTAGTTGCCATCCATATATCCTCTTTCATAAATAATTTTAATTGGGTTATTTTCTTACCCTTGAGTTTTTGTGTTTCTAGCATACAGATCCTATGCAGGTTTTGTTAGATTTAGATCTATTTCATTTCGGAGCTCTTTTGGGTGATTTATTTTCTTAAATTATGGTTGTTAATTGTCCACTACTGGCATATAGAAGTGTGATTGGTTTTTGTGTATTGACCTTGTATTCTGCAACCTTGATCAATTTATTAGCTTTAAAAACTTTTTCTGTAGATTCCTTGGAATTTTTTACATAGACAATCATGTTATATGTGAACAGGAACAGTTTCATTTCTTCTTGTCCACTCTATATGCCGTTTATTTGTTTGTTTCCTTATTGTACTTGCTTTATTTCCTAAGATGCGCAATAAAGGAATGTAGAAGAACGTTGGAAGAGAAGCATTCTCACCTATTGCTGATCTTAACAGGTAAGCATTCGTTTTTCATCGTTCAGCATGATGTTAGATAGTTTTGTAGATGCCCTTTATTAGGTTGAGAAAGTTTTCCACTATTCCTAGTTTTCTGAAAGTTTTTATCAGGAATGGATGTTAAATTTATTCAAATGCTTTATCTGCTTAAATTGATATGATCATATGATCATGTGAACTTCTTTGGACTGTTATAATGGTGGATTACATTGATAGATTTTTGAATATCCAGCCAGCCTTCTGTTTAGGATACTTTGCACTTGGTTGTGATGCATTAATCTTTTTATGTATTGTTTAATTAAATTTCCCAATATTTTGTTCAGAGATTTTGCATCTATGTTTATGAGGCATATTGATCTAATGGTTTGCTCTCGGGGTAATGATGGGCTAGTAAAATGAGTTGGAAGGTGTTCTCTCCTTGTCTATGCTCTGGAAGAAATTGTATAGAATTTGTTCTTATTTCTTTAAATGTATGGTTTAATCTGTCAGTGAAACCACTTCAACCTGGAGATACCTATTTAAAAAAATTTTTAAACTACACATTTAGTTGCTTTAATAATTATAGGACTATTCATATTGTCTATTTCATCTTGGGTGAGTTTTGATAGCTTGGGATTTTTGAGGAATTGATTCCTTTTCTCACAGTTGTCCAATTTACGTGTATGGAGTTGTTCATAGCATTTCCTTATTATACTTTTAATGTCTATGGGGTCTCTAGTGATATTTCCTTCTTTATTCCTGATATTAGTAAGTTTTATAATTTCCCTCTTTTTCTTTGTGTCAACCTGACATGAAGTTTATTAATTTTATTGACTTTTCCAAAGAACTAGCTTTTAGTTTCATTGAATTTCTCTTTTGTTTTTCTATTTTCTACTATATTTCATGGATTTCTGCTGTTATTTTTACTATTTCTTTCTTTAGCTTTGCATTGGATTATTTTACTCTTCCTTTTAAGTTTCTTAAAGTAGAACCATTGGTTACTGATTTGAGACTTTGTTTCATTTTAAAATAAACATTTAATGCTATAAATTTCCCTCTAATCACTGCTTTAGTTGTATCCCACAAATTTTTGGTATGTTATGTTTTCATTTCTGATCAGTTTGAAATATTTTCTCATTTTTCTTGAAACTGCCTTGTCAATCCTTGGGTTATTTAGAAGTGTGTTGTTTAGGGCTGGGTATGGTGGCTCACACCTGTAATGCTAGCACTTTGGGAGGCTGAGTTGGGCAGATCACAAGATCAGGAGATTGAGACCATCCTGGCTAACATGACGAAACCCCGTCTCTACTAAAAATGCAAAAAATTAGCCAGGTGTGGTAGCACGTGCCTGTAGTTTTAGCTACTCAGGAGACTGAGGCAGGAGAATTGCTTGAACCTGGGAGGTGGTGGTTGCAGTGAGCAAGATCACACCACCGCACTTCAGCTGGTGCAACAGTGAGACTCTGTCTCAAAAATATATATTAAAAAAAATGAAGAAGAAGAACTGTGTTGTTTAATTTCTAAGTGTTTGGATATTTTCCTATTAATGATTTCATACTATTATAGTCAGAAGACAAACTTTGTATGATTTCAATTATTTTAAATTTGTTGAGGTTTGTTTTGTGCCATAGGATATGGTCTGTCTTGGTGTTGTTTTATATGCCCTTAAAAAGAATGTGTGCTCTTCTGTTTTGGCATGAGCTGTTGTTCTATAAATGTTAATTTGATCCAGTGGGTTGATGATATGGTTCAATTCTTCTATATTCAGAGTCAGCAAACTAAAGCTTAGCGAAATCTGGCTTATGGCCTGTTTTTGTACTGTCCTTGATGTAAGAAAACGTTGTAAAAAATGGAGAATTTGTGACAAAATATATGTACCTGGGAAGCTAATGTGTTCACTATCTGATCCTTCACAGAAAAATACTTCCCAATCCTGCTATATATACTTTCTGATTTTCTGTTAGTCCTATAGATTACTGAAAGTGATGTGTTAACATTTCCCACTATAATTGTGAATTTGGCCATTTCTCCTTTCAGTTCTGTTAGTGTTTGCTTCATGTACAGTCATGCACTGCTTAACAACAGGAATATGTTCTGAGAACTGTGTCCTTAAGGCAATTTTGTCATCATGTGAACATCATAGAGTGTGCTTACACAAACCTAGATGGTATAGCCTACCACACAACTAGGCTATACGGTATAGCCTATTGCTCCTAGGCTACAAACATGTACCGTATGTTACTATATTGAATACTGCAGACAATTGCAACACAAAGGTAAGTGTTTATGCATCTAAACAACTCTAAACATAGAAAAGGTATATTAAAATATGATATTACAATCTTATGGGACCACTGTTTTATATGGGGTTGATTATTGACAGAGACATTGCTCTGCAGTGCATAACTGTACTTTGACTCTCAATTGTTAGGTTCATACACATTTAGAATTGTTATGACTTCTTGGTGAATTGACCCAATTATCGTTATGACATGTCCTTCTTTAGCCTATTCATTTTCTTTGCACTGAAGTCTATTTTGGTATTAATACAGCCATTCCAGCTCTATTTTGATTTATGTTTTTATGGCATAGTTTTTCCTTCCTTTTGGCTTTAGCTGACTTGTATCATATTTCAATTGAGTATATCATAGATAGCATATAGTTAGGTCATGTTTTTCTTTTGTTTTTAATCTATTTTTATAATCTCTTCTTTTAATTGGCATTATATGTATTAATAGTTTTTTCCCATTTGTCTATGTTAAATGGACTCATCCGTTTTATAATAATTCCATTGCTAGATATGTCATCTAACACTCAGTGTTCACTGTCCTCCTGTGTTTTTTCATGTGTCATTATCTGTATGGGACCAGCCCACAAATTTGCTTTTGCAGTGATTCTTGTCTCCATGTTTGCAGGCATTGAAATTGATATTTAGTATTCATTTAATGCCTGCACCTAATTATATGTATTTTCTGCTTCAGTTTCCTAATAACAGACATGACATTATTTTGATAGTACAGTATTAGATGATATGTCTTCAAAAATACCCAGTACTAATAGTTATTTAAAAAATAACTTACTATGAAAATCAAAATCTAACAAACCAAACCCACTTTTTATATTTTAACTTAATTTATAAAAAAGGGAATTAAGAGTAGTTGCTATAACAATTAAATAAAAACATCTTCCAATATAGAACATTTTATATGGAAATAGTATTCACTGAAGTCCCAAACCACTCTACCCTGATTCTCACGCTGAACGTCTTTAATGAGTTCAGGGAGGGCCTGAACTGAGAGTTAAGAAACTTGGATTGCAGGCCTAGAGACAGATCAGCACTGTAACTCTGGGTAAATTTCCACCCCTTTCTCATTGCCAGTTTTCCCACCTGTAAAATAATGATGACTAGTGATAATTAGCCCCAGCCCAGGATCCATCACCTGACTGCAATATAGTTTAAAGTGTAATTTCAGAATAAAAAATTATAATGCTACCTTTTGCAATCTGCTTTATAAACATATCCATACACAGTCATGCCCTGCATGACATTTCAGTCAACGACAGATCACGTATACGATGGTGGTCCCATAAGATTATGATGGAGCTGCCCTATTCAGTGTTTATACTGTATTTTTCACTGTACCTTCTCTATATTTATATATGTTTAGATACACGAATATTTATCATTGTGTTACAATTGCCTACAGTATTCACTACAGTAACATGCTGTACAGTTTTATAGGGTAGGAGCACTAGCCCATACCAGACAGCCTAGATGTGTAATAGACTATTTCATCTAGGTTTGTGTAAGTGCACTCTCATGCTTACACAACAAAATTGCCTACAGTTGCATTTCTGAGAATGCATTCCCATTATTAAGCAATGTATAACTGTATTAACATTTTAGTGGCTAAAAAGTCAAGTCACCTGTCATATTGATGTTTTTCAATTCAATGAATTGGGTAATGTAAGTCCTAAGACTTTACATTTCTCCATGAGACCTAAGTAATTATTTTCTAGTTGGAAGCGGTAAAACTGAAACCTGTTAACACATTTATATTCCTTTAATTTCTCACCTCTGCTGTAGATGCTCTCTCTCAATGATGCCTTTGAGTTTTAACATTGTATGGCTCTATCCCCAAATTTGACTTGAAACTGGGTCATCTTTCTTTATGGCCTCATGCTTCAGGAGTTATTTCTTGCCCCACCTAAATAGTCCTTTTATGCTTAAATACCTTTCTGCACATCTTCAGTTTACTCAAGGTGTCAGAATACACCTGGGCAATCCGGCTCACATAGTGGCTGGGTCACATTATCACAGCTGAATTAACCCAACAATGAACCTAAGCCAATAGTCGATTTCAAGGATGAGTAGGTCCACTGGCAATAAGGAGAGCCCTCACTCCTCTTCCTTTCACAAAAAATATCCTTTCACCAGAAAATACTACAAAAAAAAATACCCTTAACTCATCAGTCCATCATGCAAATTACCAAGTTACCATTGGCCTTTGGTGGTATGTAATACCTTTAAAGAAGACTTTGGTCATATAGGTATACAATAAAAATTGTTGGCTTTCTGAAGTAATCACTTTGTGATTCTCCGCATGTATACATGTTAAATAATTTGTATGCCTTTTCTCTGATTAAAAAAAGTATTGGCTTTCAGAAGTGGTTTCAGATAGAGGATTAGGACTTATATAAATACAGATGAGTTATATCATATGCACACTAAATTTAGCTACACATGAGAGAGGAAAAGAGAGAGAGAACAATTTGCACAGTGAGAACAATTCCTCTCTCCACTCTTCTCCATATGCTTAGGCACTGGAGTGACCGTGATGTAAGAAACGATTTGAGCTATGCTTCAGAGTGTCTCTGTTTTCACAAGTTGTTGTAGTGCGGGCAAAGCTCAAGTGTAAGCCAAACTAAGTGTGATCCTAGTATTTAAAGATACATCTTTCTTGTTCAATATGGCTCCAATACATAACAAATTTCTAAGGTCCCCAATTGACAATGATCAA